CTACTTATCTTTCTTACTTCTATAGTGTATTGAGATGTTATGTTATGCTATGTAGAAGTGAGGGAGGCCACCTATTATTTATCCTAAGTAAGTAGGTATTAGCCCCACACATTTAACTAGAAAACTATCAACATTCTGACTCATTTAAGATGGCAGTGAGGAACGTAAAACGGAGTAACTAAAGTAAAACTAGTAGGTTATCTTAACTTGTAAAAAATTAACACATTCTTTTGTGCGGCGTTACTCCAACAAGTAAGCAAGTGGAAGATCGCTGTCCGAATCCCAGTAAGGTCATAATTAATTTTTCTGTTTCCAATTGATAAAAATAAAATAATCTCTATAAGGATATCTTCTATTTTCGATTTAAAATTAACACGTATGCTAAAAACCATTGGTGTACATTAGAAACTCAATTCCAACAAATTTGATTTCTGCACTTTAATTCTTCTTCCTATTTAATATAATTGTTAGAAGAAATACAGATATCAAAAGCCAGTAGCAAGTTAATATATAGTTATTCATTTTAATCTTTCTTTTGTTTAGGAGGATGCATTTAAAAGGAGAAGATGGGTCAAGTGGGGTTAAAGGTACGTTGAATTTTAGTTGCAGTTTATTTCAGTTATTAGTTTAAAAGTAATTTTAAGGTTAAAAAACTTGTATATGTAATAAATGCTTTATAGATAACCTTAAGGAATACTTAAACAAACAGTGCAATAAATCTGATGTCTGCTGTTAAAGGTACCATTTAAAAGCAATATCTTTCGAAGGTAATCTGCAAAAAAGGAGCTAAAATGATATGGAATGATTAGTTTTGTTTGACTTACTGATTATCCCTAAAAACTATGCATAACATTGTATTGTTCCGAACATTTCAAAACCACATATGATATTTAGAAGCATTTCTATTATATTTTTCTTTGAATGTCACAGACTTAAATCATTCTAATGACCTATACGTGCTTAGTATTGCTCTCATATTGTTTAAGTGTTCACTTTGTAAGGCATTCTTTCGGCGCATGCTCTTGAGCATATGTAGCTGACAGTTGGAAGATCTGTGACTCGATTCCTGGCGAAGCCACAATTGAATTTTTTCGTTTCTTACGCAACGGAAAAAAAAACTTAATAATCTCTGCAGTGACGCCTGAACTAAACTGTGATGGGAAAATAATCAATCCTCATCTGGATATGACAGGCGCATTCTCGTACCCTCTCTACCGTAATCATGCTTAAAAGATAAAGAAAATAAATTATTAGACACATGCAGATATTTATAATATAATTATTAGCGCATCCAATTAGCAATTTAAAAATATCTATTCAGATTCGAAGTGAAGGCATACATCATTATTCAAGTTTTCTGTCCTGGAAAAACTAACTGTCACTTATTGATCTATGCACACCTATTTTGCTACATCTTTCAAATCTTCCGAAATCCCGATGAATAATCCGTGTATCTTGTTTTTCCTTTATACATAATTAATATGCCAGAATGCTAATGACGTCAATGCTGATAGGGTATTTTTAATGCATTAAAAAATTAAAAAGATTTTTCAACTGCTATCAATTATAAGCTAAAGAAAATGCTTTATTAAAAGTTTTGCAGTATCTGATTTCGGGGTGGTTTAATTTTCCAAACTGTATTTCGTGCAAGAACCTGCATTAAATAACAGGCACGAAATCTTGATTATACAAGCCACCTATTTAAGACATAAACTGATCATCCAAAGTATAGTTCGTTCTTTAAAAACGTATAAAAATGTCTGATGTGGACACCGCATGACTTCCTTGTACGGCCTATTAAATTATACACCTTTTTTGCTGCACTTCATTTAAATTTATTTCGTCGAATTTCATTAGAGATATATTTCTCATTCAATCAATTCAGTTCTCACTTCGCAAGAAAACAAAAAATACACAAGAACTCAAAACATCCTCATTAAAAAATGAGAAATAAAGAAAACCTGAAACACCAAATACAGATTAGGACAGTTAAAAAGATATTTTTGCGATTAAAATTGGAGTTCCTACTCCAAAACAAGCAATTATTCCAATGGGCAGAAAGTCAAAGCTTTCGGTGCACACAAAATTTTAACTTGAATTTTGGTTCCACTGGGCAAAAAGACATTTCAGTTAGCTCACCAACAGATTTAATTTACTGTATTACTAAGAATTTCAAATGAAAACAAAAAAAAGAGCCCTTTATTCCGTCCGTAAGTACAACACTGACCTACTGAGCAACTTCCGACCTGAACTTAAATGAACATACTTTATGTTACATTTAATCCAGTACTAAATATTTTTTAAAGTATTTCATGCAAGGTTCAAGTCATATAACTCAGAGGTACAGATGTCATGCAAAAAAAGTCATTCAACTGGATTCAAAATCGGTCAAAATTGGTATTTTTGTTGAAATTATGATACCCAAAATTTTTCGCCACTACAATACTTCTTTTATTTCGAACAGGGAAGTAAAACTGGGAAACTTTCTGAGATAAAAATGTTTGTAACAAAGCAATTTTTTAATTCACATATTTCAAAATAAATTTTATGTTAAAACCAATCAAATTAAAGACTTTAGATTTTACCTTCAGTCCTAACAGGTCGTTTGGCAAGCTTCCGATCCAAGCCAGGGCGACTTATTGGTGAATCAACATCGATATCCACTGAGAGCAGTGCAGACTCAGCCACACCTCTGAACAAAGGTTTGCCTTTATTGCAAAGAGTGCGGATGCTAGGGGAGCAAGAAAGAAGAGCAGCAGCAACTCAAGGGGCAGCTCCAACCTCCCCCCAAAATGGCGCCAATGCACCCTCAGAAATAATTGGGGAAGGTAGGTGAAAAACAACAAGTACAGAAAGGCGTAGTACGTTTCCATTAAGAGAATAATTTAATTATGTCCGCAAAATTAAACAAAAAAATAACCAAAGTTTTGATGTTTTTTGTTTTTATTTTGTTCATTAAATCCTATGGAAGTCGTTAATTAATTTTACTCTGCCTAACGTAGTAATATTAGAAAAGAATGTTTTTGGAGGCTGTTATTTTGATTTTACCTAAAGGAACAAGCGAAAGAAATCTTTACCAATATGTTTTACTCTTGTTATTGATAAAATATTACCTTGCATAACTAAAATTATGCACAAAAAATGTATGCTTAAAGTATTCTATTGTCAATCGGTATTACTTCGGTGATCACCGGTTCTTGCTCTGAATGTTGCTAAGTACCAAGGATGTGAGAAAATCACATCCTTGGTACTTAGCAACATTCACATTCTCGTAATTTCGTGGTTGTGCCTGTCAGTCCTTCCTGTCTTATTTTTTTTTTTTTTTTAAATTTCATAGTGGCTGTTTCCTGTGGACACTCTGAGTAACATTTTTGTTAATGAGATGGCTAAATCACTGATTGTCGCCGTCGTTCCTAATGAATGTTTCTGTGCATTACAGCCGACAATACCGCAGCAAAAACATCGCAAACGAAAGCATCGCGGAGAAAACAACGCAAGGCGAAAACCTTGTGGTACAAAGCATCGTGGGAGAAAGAAATCAAAAAGAAAACATCACAGTTCTCAAACATCGAAATTAAAGCAGTTCAGAAGCTTCGCAGTTTAAAAACGTCGTCGTCGAAAATATTGTGGTAACACATAAAGCACCTACAAATCATCGCATCACCATAGCATTGCACACATGTGTTTTTGAGGTTTTAAAAGTTTCAAATGCATATTCGCATAAAGATTTGTAAGAGCAAGAAATGTTAGCGATACGGACGGAAACAAGCAAGAATAAACGGAAACAAAACAAGGTATAATTTTCACCAAAACAATATCAGATTAACAAACATGAAAAAAAGTAATTTGATAATTAATTAAGCAATTTTTCGAGGTAACCTCATGCAGTTATTTATCTTCCTTTTTCTAAATAATTTTTAGGCTGTATTTTTCATGAAAAAATATGAGTAAAACTTTATAAAAACGATTAATTTATTAATGACCTTTGTTAATCAACTATGTAAATTTAAAATTAAATGCTACGAGTTGCATTAATTTTCTCTACCCATTTTTAGTTTTTAAATGCTTAAGTTTCCTTCTTACTTTTTCAACAAATATTTATTAGTTCACTGAAAAATATGAAATAAGAAGTAAAAATATCCCTTTTTCTTTCTTGTGTTTCCATGATGCGAAAATGTGTTTACAGCTTTTAAAACCTCAAAAATGCATGTGTGCGATGTTATCGTCATGCAATGATTAGTAGGCACTTTATTTTTTTACCACGATATTTTTTGACAACCATGTTTTTAAACTGCAAAGTTTTTGAGCCTCTTTATTTTCGATGACGGTATCTTGTACCACGATGTTTTCTCTTTGCCTCTTTTTCTCCCACGATGCGACTCCATGACGGTTTCACCTTGCGTTGTTTTCTCCGTAACGTTTTCATCCGCGATGTTTTCGGCGAACATCGTTTCAGAATAGGTACAGCTGTTTGGAAAAAAAAGTTTGATAAGTTTTAATCCAATTATATCTTCCTTAAGCTCATCAACAACTTTCAGAAGCAGCCTGATGGATAGATTTGAGAAGTATTTATTGCTCATTATCCATTAAAGCAAGCTAATTAAAATGATTTGAATTCCTTAGTGAAAACGCCATCAGTGAAAGTTTTTGAACTTGTTTCGTGAATTATACTGCATTTTGTTCTTCGTCAATTTAGTAAACCATTACGGTCGAACGCGCGAAACTGATCTGGCACCTTATCTTATTACACCTCTATTATGCATTACTAAACTTTTTATTTTCAATTCACCCTTTTTGGTGGGAATTTTCAGTCCGTTCAATTGTCAATATTAATACTCTTAAAAACCGATTGCTTGGGCAGAGTTTTTCCCAATACAAAATTTTAATATTAATAAGAGTTTCAATAAATATCTCAAAAATTTTAGATATGAGCATGTATAAATTTAAATATATTGATATCTTAAGTTTATTTATACTCAAAATAAAATTGGCAAGTTTTGAAATTCTTTTATATTGAGATAATTTTACCAACTATTCATTTCACATTAAATCAATTAAATCATACTTAAGTGTGTTATGTAAATGAAGAGACTAATTAAAATAACAAATAATAGAAATTATCATGTAATCAAATTTGCTTCAATTTCTGCTTTACAGAATCTGTTTTTCAATATGGTTTCAATTTATCTGTTATAGAATGTCTGTTTCTGAAAAGCTTTGAAGTCACTGCCTAAAAACACTTAATTTCATCTTAAGTCAGATAACCAGTGTTTCAGGCTGTACTGTGAATTGACCAAAGTATAATTAAAAGAAAATTACCCAAACTATGATGTCATTAAATTTCTTAAAATTTATTAAGGTTATTAAAGTTATCCAATTTGTGCGTTACGAAGCGTATTTTTATGATGCGTTTTGAAGTTATTGCTTTAAAACGCTTTTTCACTTTAAATCTATTAAATGGTGTTTTAATTCAAATTTATTCTCCTATGAAAGAATTAAATTCTAATTAAAGCAAGCTAATTAAATTTGAGTTCGATTTCTTCGAACCTCTCTTACTGTTAAAGAACATTCTAATTATTTTTTTTAATATTAGACTATTATTTATTTAAATTTGTTTATGGTAATGTATCGCAGAATGTGAAAAGGGAGAGTTTCAAAAATTTAAAATAATATGTTCCGATTACAAGCAGTGTGAATAACAAACTTAAATTCATTTATTTTAATTACATTTGGTTAGTAAGAAATTTTCATCGTAAAGTGTAAACATTGTTTAGCTACCTTATTCTTATATTACTAAGAAATATATCATATGTCATGCTATTCCATTTATTTATACATACCACTCGCTTCAATTTAACAACTTCACTGCACTACTGGATATGTTTTGCTTATAGTTTGCTTAACATCGATTTCTCAGCTCTTCGCTGTATCTTTCAAATATTCTTTAAGAGAACTGTGAAATTTAGAAGGCAAAAATGTCGCAGAAAGTTATAAAACAGGCAAACATGGAATAAACAAAGTAATAATACATTCTTCTAAAAGATTTCTTTATTGAAAAAAAATAAAACACAATATTTACATGATGAAGTCAAAATATTTATTTTGTTCCAGGGAAAAAGTGAAAGTATCTGAAAGCAGCAATAAATCAGTTAAAAAGCACTACTTACCTGGATCAACTCTTACTCTGCTGAAATTCAGACTTGAAATCTGTTGAAATTCAGGCCGCAACTTTTTTTTTTTTAATTCAGGAGGAAAACATCAAATAAAAAAGATTTCTATTTGCGAAAAATCAGGAAAATGAAAAAAAATCTGACAGTTTTCAGAATTCATATTACACTCAAACGGCCCTTCTTTTTAAATATTTAAAAACAACATATCTTTAGAATTTCCAATAGGCAGTCTGGCGCGCTGGAGATAAAAATATTTTTCCCCAGTACAGTGTTGCCACTGCTAGCTTTGAAACTGTGTTTTTTAATTAAAAATTCGTCAAAGTTTTACAAAATGTGAAATAGACAAAAAAAAAAAAAAAATTCGGAATTACAGATGGCCATACTCGAGTGGAGGACTACGTTATTCAAAATTTGATGGTTCCATGTACTGTTGTTTTCACAATGCGAGAAACATACATACATACATACATATTCATACAGATTCTTTATTATTTAATTTCTTTAAATATAATGGCAGGGCGATAATATTTGGAGGCAAGAATTTGAAAAGTGAAACGGACATTTATAGTGAACCGACACAAAATGCCATTTCTAGACCCCCTTCTGGGCTAACGCTCTTTTGGGCTAATAATTTTTATATGTTTGGGACAATTCTGCCACATTTCAATGACTTTAGAAATTTACATTTCTTAGAAAAAACCATCATCTTTACCAAATCAGGTAAAAGTTATCTCAAGTCAAAGTCACAACATTATTTCATCATCTAATATAAACAAAATTTTGAATTAAAAAAAAATCTGAAAGGTTTCAGATTTTTAAAATTACGTCCAAAGGAGCGTTTTTTTATTAAATATCACGTTCTTCGCACTTGAACTATAAAATTCAGTTCAGCAGCAATATCGCAAATAGTTTTAAAATGAGCATATCTTTAGAATTTCCGATACAGAGACTCGTACGCTAGAGATAAAAATGTTTTTCCTGTACAACGTTGCCATTGCTCACATTGAAATCCTTAATAAACAAATAAAAAAAATTCCAAATTTCAAATTTGGGCTTCCACATGCCCATATTTGCATGTAGTATATGATTAAGATTACGTCATTCAAATTTCGATGGCTCTAGGTACCGTTGTTTTATCACAATGCGAGAAATACACATGCATTTATGCAGATTTTTCATTATTTAATTTCTTCAAATATAATGCTGGACTCTAACATTTCGTGGCAACAGTTTGAAAAGTGAAACGGACATTTTTAGTGAACCAACGCAAAATCGCAAAACGAAAACAATAGTCTTTCAGGAACAAAGCCCCTTTGAACTAGTAATTATGGAAGAAAATAAACGGTCATTGCTTTTGTAAATTGGCCAGCCAAAATATTATTATTCTTCCCTTTTGTACATAAAAACTCGCATATTATTATAATATATTTTAATGTAATTTACATCGCTTCTACTTAAAAGTTTTAAAACTGAAGTTAAATATTCTCGCACGTTTTTAATTTCAGGTACCTTAGTTCTTTAGAATATTATTTATGCTAGAACATTTTCTAGTAAATGAAAAAAGTGTCTAATCACTCTACTGTTAAGCTGAATCTTAAATTAGGTTAATGACCGAAACTTAAGTAGGCATCCTCATTAATAATAATGACTACCTCTTTAACTTTTCGGCGAAAAGATAAATATTTTTCCGACGCAAACAGACACGACCTAATTAGTTATTAAGCTTTTAAATATTTTTTACGTAAAACCATTTTCAAGAAGAAATTAAGTACAACTTTCTAAGAAATAACTTAATATGTGGCTAAAATTTAAAAATATAATTAAAGGCTACGAAAAGGCAGCAATAAAATTAATATTTTTTCTTTATTTTATGAAGTATGGTTTTTATAGATAAATTAGATATTTTTTTATTTAATTTATTGACTTATTTTGGCTTATAAATTTTTATTTCATCTTTATAACACATCTGGTTGCTATGATATAAATATATCAAAATACATTGTTTCAATTAATAAAAGATGTTTGTACCTCTGTATATTTACGTACTAATTGAATAGTTTTTTATTTTATAAATATGCATTAATAATATAATTGATAACATTAAAGCGTTAAAGTACTTTATATAAATTGGTAATTAATAGCATTAAAGTAGACCAAAGCGCATTCCACTATTAGCCCAAAGGGCCAATTTGACCGGAAGAGCTATTAATTTTGTTTTGCATTTTGCGTCGTTCACTATAAAACGGCGATTCAATTTTCAAAGTGTTGCCACCAAATATTACAGCCCTGCATTATGTTTTAAGAAACTAAATAATGAAGAATGTGAATGAATGTATGTATGTTTATGGTTTAAGTGCGAAGAACATGATATTTAATTAATAAAGGTAACACACAAAACTTTAAAAAAAACGGCCCTTTGGTTGTAATATAAAATCTGAAAACATTCACTTTTTTTTTAATCATAAAACGTTCAAGCAAGAAAGGAGCATGAAGTTATAAGGTTTTTAAAGAACGATGATCTGAAATGAAGTATTCAACTCGTTCACAAAGTTTTATGACTAATATTTTAACTAATTCCTACCATAGGTAATTTATAGCTTTTATTGCTGTGACATCTCAATTTGTTTTTCCTAAAATATCGTCTGCTAACGGACGGAATTTTCTATGCAGTATGTCTAATGCTTACGATGATCATATCCAATTTTTCATCGGTACAGGCGATTTCGTGATGAAAGCAAAGCTGTTGATAATGAATCCAGGAGTGGTCGCCCTTCGCAGTCTCTAAAGGATCCGAACATTGGAAGCGTTCCACAGTTGCTGCTGAAAAATTGTTATCTATCTCTTCGAATAATGAGTAAAAATGCATCTCATAAAATTATCTGAGAAAATCTTGAAAAAAGAAAACATTGCTCTGGATTTTTGCTAACCGACAATGCGTCGTCAAACAATTATATTATCGTCAGTCTCTAACAAACAATACTCAAAATTCTAAACCACTTGTCTTATTCACCAGATATAGCAGCTGCAGAATGCATTATCTTTCAAAAAATGAAGCATCATTTCATTACTTTTATAGCATTGAAGAGATTTAGAAATGCGTAACCAGACTTGAAGAACATGCTAAAAGATAAGTTCTACGAAGGATTCAAGTACATGAATGAACGTGACTATATATGAAACTGTGTGAAATCCAGTGGCTCCCAACCTGCAAAGAGCCATCGTTTAATCAGAGGTACGCGAAAAAATTATCATTATATGATAGAAAAGATTAAGAATTACGAGGAATGCCAGTAAAAAAGGGCCATTAAATAAAAAGGTACACAACTGCGAGGATTTCCGATGTGACAGTTCCTGGCCAAAATGTATAGAAAAGGATAATATTAGTTGTAACTAGCCCTATCTTCACATACACTGGTATAATAAATTAAGAGAATTTGCATATTTGGTCTACGATCTCCAGAACTACTGGACAGATTTAAATAAAATTTGGTGTGAACATAGACTGATACAATACAAACAAAATAAACATTCAACAGTTGTAATAGATACACATGTTCGTGTGTAACACTCATGGAAATCTGAAGGTCTGAAACAGCGGTTGCAGAAGACACGAAAGAAAGGGGTTAATAGGGGGTATGATCCGCTCTTACAACCATACAGGCCTCGCAGCGTGATGTCATACTGGAAATAAGGCAGCTTATCAGTGCATGTGGCAATTAGTCCCACTCATTCAGCAACGCTGTTTTCAATTCCTGGATGGCTCTCGGAGGAGTGTTACGAGTTGTAATTGCCCTCCAAAGAGCGTCCCAGATATGCTGTATAGGGATGAGGTTTGGAGACCTGGCTGGCCAATCCATCTGGCGAATATCCTCACTCTCGAGAAATTCATCGACCAGAAAAACTCTATGTGTCCTCGCGTTACCGTCCTGTAAGATGAACTCTGGGCCCACTGCACCCCGGAAAAGGCGAACATAGGGCTCCAAGACCTCATCCCTATACTTCACACCAGTCACAGAGCCTCTATCAAAGACATGGAGAGGTGTGCGGGCATCCAACATGATGCCTACCCAGACCATTACACCACCACCGCCATAATTGTTGATTTCGCAGACGTTGGAGGGTAGTTAGCGGGTCTCTGACTCTCGCCATATGAAAGTACGGCAAAAACGGTGTTTAGGCTAAAACGGGACTCGTCGGTGAATAGAACTGTCGCCCATTGCTCCGTACTCCAATCACTATGCTACCTGCACCATGCTAATCGGACTCTCCTATCCGTAGAAGTGAGCGGGACGTAAACTGCGGGTCTTCTGGTAAACAAGCCTCTCTCATTCAGTCTTTCGGAAACAGGCACCCTTGTTACACGGGTTACTATGGCTGCGTACAGGTCCCGAGAGAGCTAAGAAGCTGTAGCTCCTCTATTACGCATCGCTAAAATGGACAAATAGCAATCTTCTCTGGCTGTCGTGGCTCTTCGACGAACTTGCCCAAGCTTTATCTCGATGAATCTAGTATCCTGGAACTGGTTCCATAGGTTATGCACGACGCTGGGCGTTAAATTAAACTCTCTGAATATCTGGACTTGCGATTGGCCTGCCTCTAGCCTCCGATTCGCCACCTCATTCCATCAACTGCAAGGTAACACCGAGAAATTCGCCGAGGTGTACTAGCAAACGCAATTTGTATTGCACCCACCTGCAATTTGTACTGCATTACACGCGCTTATAAAGCATGTTTTTCTGCTGACTCCGCCTATACACACGTGTACTCTTACGTATTTGCCGTACAAAATTTGCATTTTTATCTAGAAGCATCGATTTTCCTTCAGTTCTTTTCATGCAATTCGATAAAATATGCAAATTCTCTTAATTTATTTCACCAGTGTATATAACATTGTTCGAGCCCTTACTCATCGCATGTAGCCATCCCTTCTATGCTCTGTTATCAAGAATCGTTGAAAACACTTGGCAGCCAATTATATTTTCAGTAATCGGAAGAATCACGAAGTTAGTTACGCATTTCTCTTTCTTTACAATTCTCATATTCAAACCATTCTGAGTGTACACTTTTGATTTAAACTAGTTTCTAATCTATTGAAAGTTATAAATATAAAGTGCTTTTCTAAGAAACCTTTTATATGATTAAAATGTTTGTCTTCGCGCAGACCTGAAATTATCGTAAATAAAATTGCCAATTGCACCTCTATTCAAATAAGTGATTATCATTTATTCTTACGTACCTCATTTTAGTTTTACTTTTTATAGGTCTGCCCTTTTTGGAAAGACTTAAACTGCTGCGAGCGAAGGAACAAGCTCAGGCAGCGGCTGCTGGTAACGGAAAACAAACTTCACCAAAAAATGATCGAAATGCTAAACCTGGGCAGTCCACTCTCAAAGTAGAAACTCAACAGGTAAACTTCCCAATGTTAACATATTTTTTTTTAACTTTTAATCAGATTTAGTTATAACCCCTACACTTATTTACATTTACTTCCCTGCACTATGTACTTCTCTATTTATGCGCACAAGCAGTTTAATTACTGCTGATTCCAGCCGACCAGGTGGTATAGTGGTTAGGGGAGCTTACTACGGTAGCGAACGGCTCAGATTCGAATCGTGGAGAAGGCATGGATGTTTGTAAATGTAAAGTGTCTTTGCGGCATAGGGGCACTCTATATATATAGCAAGCAGAAAGTCCTTTCGAGTGGTTAGTGGTAGGGGAAAAATGTGGAAGACCCTCGAACCCTTTCCCCAGGGGTGCTCTCCATCAACATTGGGGGCGAAACTGAGCGAAGTCGTACTGTCACTTGTATGGTCAGGTCTCTTGCCAAAGTAAGGCGCAATCTTGCACTCCTTGCCGCTGGTTATCATAAATTAAGGAAAAATCACAAAAATAGCAATAACTCCCTCAAAAATAAGCCAAACCGCGTAAAATTTGAATATGTTGCCAAGTAAGAGTAGCTGAGTAAACCTCCAATATGCAAATTAGTGCCGCTGCACTCGGAATTCTGCGAGGAGCATAAAAGTCCATGTTTGAGAGCAAGCCCACATATTTCATTGTGATAGTGACATCAGAAATCTGAGATAGCCAATTCGTAACAATGATCTCCAGGCATCATTTGCCTACAGAACTACGATAGATTGGGAGACTAGAGGCAGTACAAAGTCAAACAGAAGTGGCCAGATGGCTAAATGTGAGTCCTTCTGTGGTTCATAGACTTTGAAGGCAATTTTAAATCACAGTTTCGGCACCTAGGAAGTTCAGCCAAGGACGGCCAACTGCTATGACGAGCGCCGGTGACCGATATTTGACATTATGTGCACTCAGGAATAGAAACGCTACTCTGACTCTTCTTAGATCCTCCCTTGCTGCAGCCACCAGAAGGTTGGTGTCAACGTCAACTGTGCGTAGAAGGCTTCACGAAGGGGGTCTGTATGCGAGGCGAACAACCATTTGCTTGCTTCTCAAGCCACGCCATAGGAGGGGCCGTTTGCAGTGGACACGACAACATGTCCACTGGACGCCTGAGCAATGGAGGGCTATTCTCTTTACGGATGAGTCCAGGTTTAGTCTAGAACGCGATAGTAGGCGTTATTTGATGTGTAGAGAACCTGGTACCCGTTATCTTCCGTCAAATATCCGTGAAAGAGATGCACACGGAAGAGGGAGTGTCCATATACCGGGGTAATGGGTGATGCTTTCCTGTTACAGGACGACAATGCAAGACCACACAGGGCTCGCATCGTATATGATTATCTTCAACAGGAAACAATTATGCGCATGGAGTGGCCAGCTCGATCTCCGGACTTGAGTCCTATCGAGCCCGTTTGGGATGCTTTAGGGAGACGTCTAGCTGCTCTCAATCCGCCCCCCTTATACCCTTGCCGCGCTTGCAACTGCTTTGCAAGAGCAATGGCTCTCGCTTCCTATGAAACTGATAGACTACATAATTGAAAGCATCACACATCTCTGAATGAGCTGTATTGCTTCTAGAGGCGATTATATTGCATATTAAAGGTACTTTTACTATAGCAAACTGACATCTTTGATTTGTTCATTTTATACATGTGCTAATTTCTATATTAAAGTAATTGTCTGGTAATTTCTTTTTATGCTATTTGATACTTTACTATGTGTTGTATATTGTGGGTAAGTTTCATAAAATTCTACGTGTAACTTTTTCAGTAATCGTGTTTTCTGTGATTTTTCCTTAATTTATGATAATCAGTGTAATTATGTTACCAAATTATCTTTATTTCAACACATCATTTTAAAATTATGAAAAAAATGGTTTCTGATTTCTGCGCATTTTTGAAATATTTTAGCATTTAAAAGAGGCTTCTGTTTCTTCTTTACAATTTGATGTTTTTCCAATTCTTCGATAATTGATGTCAGAGTTATTCTCTGAATTTTCGTATCAGACATGAAATTATTTTTTATACAGGCTTTAATTATCTGAATGCAAAATCTGAATTGAAAGGAAAATTTAAGTTTTACAGCATGATTTCACTCTGTTGCAAATTAGACTTTCAGAAAGCTCACTTGCTTAACATAAGTGTCTTCTTCGAATTCATGATTAAACATTTTGAATTATTTAGTTTCACTGCGATATTATTTTGATTCAGAAATTTTATGTATTTTAAAATAAAGTATGAATCTTCAGTGCTTACGAAAGAGTTCTTGCGTTAGTCACATGATTTCGAAAGTAACATTTAAAATAATTGGGTTTACGGAAATATTTTTGTCACTCTGATCAACATATATCTCTTGCAAGTGTTTTCCCTGTGTGACTACCATTAAATCTATTTTTATATTTTTCTTCTAATTATAACTATATGATTGAAAATTGGACTATTTTGCAAAAATGTTTCTTTTAGCGTCAACTACTTTTATGCCCACATTACAGGCGTTTCTTAAAGGGGAAAGCTGTGCTATGCTTTAGATACAAACATTCCAGCATTAGAAATATTCAAAAAAGAAGACTTTATTCTTAAAACCGTTACTTACGCGTTAATACAATGTTGCTCCAATACAAAATTTAAAAATTTTCAAATTAAATCAAAACACACTGTAAGCCTTCTATGCTAATTTTTTAATTTCTAATTAAATTGCTTCCATAAAAGTATTTAAGTAATGTATAACGTAAAGAAATTGATATCATTTAAGTACTGCCTAGTATTTTTTCCCTTCTTAAAGAACGATCTCGATTATTTCGAATATAGTCCGAACTTTAAGCCTCACTTTATTACATAAGTTATAAAATAATATTTCAAATCAAATTTAAGACTGTTAAAAGAATTGCTTTTTCGAAATCCATTACAAATGAAACTGAATTAGTTTTTAATCAAGCATGTAATAATCATTCAACAAGGTAAATAACAAAAAGAAAAATTTTTATCAATATTTACTTTCATAAATTTTTATCATTATTTAAAAAATATCAAAATTTTCATTTTTGTTTGAAAGCATATTGAAAAACTTATACATTTTTCTTTTTATTTAATAAATAAGATAAAATTAAAAACGTAAGTTGGTTTAGCACAGATAAAAAGTATCTTAACTACTACTCAAGGCCTACCAGGGGCCGAGCGGTAAAAGCCACCGAACACTGGTAGTTCGATCTGGGTTTCGAGTCCCGGCGAACGGGCTAGCTGCATGGGTGTTTTCGTGGTTTTCTCCACGTGTAACGTGGATACGAGCCAGTTTACCTTAAAAAGACCTTCACGGGACATCCCTATCTTTCCGTGCAGTGCCTAAGGGCGCAATTCGTAATATGTAATATATATATACACTATTCAACAGCTATTTTTTGCTTTTTCTTGATAGCAAGCAAATAAATAAATAAAACAAGAGTAAGCAAAATAAATAAAAGAAGTCATCTGAAAGGATTCAGATTTTCCCTTCTCATTAGTAGATTTATTTAGGTTTGTGATGCTCTCGCTGAGCATCTTAATCTACCAATCTAGTCTTGAATTCACACCTGCTAAAACAGTTTTTTTGCCTCTTTAGCTTCACATCGCTTTCCTCGCATTTACGTCACATGAAACTCAGGTGCAAATTCATAAAATATTCAAAAACAGGATTATCTTTCAAATTTCTGATCAAGTGTTAGGAGTTGGTGTACATTTTTTCATATTTCCTATATTATTTTTTTTAACTAGTCGCCCTAGCGGTCGCCTAAAAATGTTATCCTAAAAAAAGGAAAAATTATATAAGGATTTTAGTGAACCCATCTAGTGCTATGAAATACTAAAAATATTTAGTATTTCTAACTAAATTAGATTTCTAACTAGATTTAAATGCATTTTTATTTAAATCAATTAAATTAAAAAATAGAAAAATATTTTTTAAGAACTGTATTTATTGCTTTTCAATCACTTTGTTTTTTACTCAATAACAAAAAGATTAAATTTCAAAGTTAAATATCTTATACGTTACTGAATCGTAACACCCTGGATCGTGGATATAATAAGTATCCTAATTGAGGCAGTGGCAACACATTGCTTTCAAACAGTCAAATTTGGGGATTAAAACTGAAATATTAGTAGCTTACATTTTAACTAATGGCAGCAGCTTGGCACGCTGGAGATAAAAATGATTTATTTCGAATGGTATTGCCACTTCTCTTTTTCAAATCACTGAGTGCGCTAAATAAAAATTCGTTACATTTGTGCAAAATGGAAATTAAATCAGAAAAAAATTCGAAAGTAAAAATTCAGATTTCAAAGTGCTCATGTTCGGGTAAGAGTGTATTAAAAATTCGGTGGCTGTGGGTGCCGTCGATTTTCCGAAGTGTAAGAAACATACATACATACATAAGCACCTAGTTTTAGTTATTTAATTTTTTTTTAAATAATGCATGGAAATAACGTTTGGTAACAAAACTTTGAAAAGTGATTCGCACATAAAAGTGATAGGTATAAAATGTGTGTTTCGTGGCTAATAGCACCTCTTGTGATAATAAATAAATAAAACAAGAATGCAACTAAATATCTATTATTTAATCATGAAATTTACAACTAATTCAAGAAACATTTTTGTTAAAATTCAACTGTATTCGCATAAATCTCGTTTAGAATAAAATATATATCTAGAAGGTATGTTATATAATATTCTCAAAATGTTTCCTGTGCAGATTTTTAGACATCGCCGAAACTCTATTAAAGAAACAATGCTTCATTATGATCAAGATTCTCTTACTTTGCTTTCATGTTATTAGTTATATCTAAAATTCTAATCAACAATTGTATCTCTATCAAACCTAAATATAATTTAATCCTATCAGTTAGAGCTTAAGAGCTGCAGACAGCTTATGTATAATTACAAAATTGTCATAAAACTACTTTTTAAGCTACGTTTACCTGCTGATAGTCAAAGCTGAAGCTGTCTTCTCGCCCACTTGATTTATGTAATTCAATAAAACAAAAAAGGAATCGTTAAATAGTTAATTATGAAATTTAAGAACATTAAAAAATATGCAATTCAGTCAGAAGATAATGATTTAAAAGTTTACTAGTTCAATTAATTGGGGGGAAAAAGTCAAACTTAAATTAATTCAGTATGGTTTCGCTATTGGAAAAAATTTTATAAATTATAATTTTACATAAGAGCAAGAAATACCTTACATAAATAGATAAAGTACATTAAAAGAAACAATAATGTATGCTTATGTAATGGAATGCAATTCTTCTGATGGATATTTTTTTAACTGACTACAGCATTTTACTTCATCCCCCCTTCAATTTAGTAAATGGAGTTTTTTCTATTATTCTTAAGTAATTTTATTTTTGAATACATTTCCAAAATGAAATATGAAATAGCTTTGATATCTTAGGCATTTACATTATGTTGTTTTATTCAAAATATTTCTGCACAGAAGCCATCATTGTCACCCAAATCAAAGCATAACCCATTCTCATCATTGCTCACATCTGCCATCCCAGCCGTGTCGACATCTCCAAAACTCTTACCAAAAGTTCCCTCTCCAAAAAAAGAAACAATATCGGATGGAAAACGTTCTCCTGTGGGTTTAAAAGCTCGAATCCCGGAGTTCTCAACAGAATTACCGCTTTTGAAGAAAGTGCTTTTGATGAAGATGATGGAGGACAAGAAAACGGATGGCTCAAATAATGCAACGCAAGCCGATATTCAGGTAACAGAATATATTTTGATAACACTAAAACCAAAGTATAGTTAAATTATATGTTTTCAATGTTTTATAGGTCTAAATATCCTTTCATTTTAAGTTAAATTGTTCGATTTGTATGCGACTACAGAACTAGTATATTCATTTATTTTAATTAAGAAAACAAATACAAATTTCCTTGTGTTCCACGAAGTAATCCACGAGGCTTACAGATGTAAGTTAATAGCTCACAATGCAAGGAGATACAATTCAACAGTAAAAGCATAATAGGTCTGGAGAAAGCAAAGAAAAAATATAAAATACAAATACTATTAAAGTAAAAATACTTAAATATACCATGAATTATTAAACTGTATTAATACTAAAAGAAAATAAAATAAACAGTAAAAGAAAATAAAATAAACATAAAAAGTAATAATTCAATAATAAAAAAATAATTAAAAATAACTCTGATACAAAGGAATAATAATACATCAATATATAACGTAATCATACATAGACAATATGCAAAATAATACAATGACACATAAAAGATTTAAATCCAATCATATAAATAATAATACTAAAAGTTCAAACAGAAAATAAAGTCGCGGAAGACTGCAAAGGCTTCGGAGCTCTTAACAAGATCATAGGAAACAGAAGGCTCGCAAACAGAGAGCTGCCCTAAAGTCACTTTAAATGCACTTCTGGCAGTCGCCTACAACCTGCAATGCAATAAAGCCACAGCATCGCCACAAGCACAGAGTCCACTATTAACAATATTGAAACGAAATAAGTTAATTCCAAAATTACTATTACCCGTCAAAGTCTGAGTAAATTTATAATCCGGTTAATAAGGATATTCAATTTGAATTTAGTTTTTTTAAACGCATAAAAAGATTGAAAACTTAAAAAAACATACAATTTATGTTATATTATTAAGTATTTTATTTTTTAAATAAGGGATTTTATTTTGTATGTATTTCTTGCCTCCCTATCTTGCAACTTGCCTTCGAGGTGCAACTGGAAGTACGTTCGGCTAGCAATCGGAAGGTCTGGAATTTGAATCCCGGCGAAGGCACTAAACATTCTTGCTGCGAACAAACATCAACGTACGGAATGCTGCGAAACAAAATGCCGAATGTTTGTTAAAATCTCAAAATATATTATTAACTGCTTTATGAACAGAATCAATAAAAATCGAATCACAATAACCATTTTTTACAAAAAAATTAAATTTGACAAAGAATTTTAGAAACAAATATGGGTAATGTTTAAATCGAAGATCCCAACGTCAAACAAAACTCAGTTAACTCTCTCACGAAATAGTTTACGTAATAATATTGCAAAGTTTATCCTAAGTTGTTAACAGTTATCTTTAGTTAAAGCTACATTCCTACCCCTCCTCATTTCAGCTTACAGTTTCCTACCAGAATGTCGCGGTTAATGCAAATGAGTATGAGCGGTGTTTAAGTCGAAGTTCCACCGACTTCGTTAGAGAGCCAGAGATTCTAACTAGCGCGCGTTCTCCTTTTGGCCACACACTCTCTAAACTGTTACTACACTCGGCCGTATTTCAGGCCCTTGATAGTTTCGCCATCTTAGTTGATATTTAGTCGCCGACTGCTTAAAGATATTGATAGCTTCAGTTATATCTTTTTAGTTAAGCTTTAGTTAAGTTTTACTTCTTAATATTTATGTTCAAGCCCAAGTGGAGGCTTTGCTGTACGCTTTGAAGGAGCCATTACGTAACTTATTACCATTACGAGCCGTTACGTTTTACGTAACATCTTATCTTAAATAAAGGGTAATTAACCCTTCCTGAGTTTTACGTATCTGTTACTGAACTAAAGCGATTATTGAGTGTTCACGAGGTTCCTACACACTTAGCTGTTAGATAAAAGCTGGAACCCCACAATATAATTTTAGAGTAATCTTAATTTAATTCAAAAGTAATGTTCATTTGCGAATATCAAAACTGCTTTGTATAACTTCTCAAGAAAGTTATACAAAGCAGTTTTCAATAAAGGAACCAATTTAAAGTATTCTGCTAGATAACGCGCATGGGACCTGGGTGAATCCTCTAAAAAAAGATAGAAAATATTTTGGTTAAAATAACCTTTTGGCTGCCATTATCTGAAAGACAAAAATCGAAATTAATTTTTCTATAATCTATTAAAAATATTTAATATTTCCAAATATCTAATGCTATGCGTGGAATTTTTAAAGCGAATATCAGTATATGTGGTATTTCATGGGTGTGTTTGTATTTCTATGAAATAAGGCAAATTTTTTTAACGAATCGTGATTAATGTTTTTTTTATAAAAATTAAAAGAATTTGTTTAATTCTAAATGTTTTTCATAACTTTTTAAGGTTGCTTTTTTTTTTTCAAAACTCCTTTAGAGACTTTTTAATAATTAAAAAAAAATTAAATTTATTGCAGTCTCAGAATAGCATAATGTTAATCTTTTAAAATCAGCCTGAGAATTCTCTAATTTTATTAAATTAATAAGGATTGTCTGAAAAACATTCCTTTCGTGTATTAATCATAATAAGGCTTTTGAAACGAAACTATAGTTAAAAAAAGATTAACCGTAAAGAAAATATTATCTGTACATTTTTCATCTGCTTTTCACTTTTAATTTAAAATAAATGAATAATTATACTATTACTTCACATTTTAATTCGTTTAGTTTTGTTAGATGTACGAATTATTTTTGGAACGTCTTGAACACAGCTTGATACTTTAAATTCTGGTTTAAGATTCAATAAAAGGAAGAAATTCTGTCTTTAAGAACAATAAATGGTTTTGAAAGAAAAGTAGGAAGGTTAAGCTCTTATCTCTATCCTTTACTTTTTATACATAACAAAATGGTGTTAAAAAAATTATGAACTCGTGTTAGTTTCTATCAAGGAGGTTAAAATAGTAGATGGAGTAAGCATGACGTCACAAAAATGAAGCCAACAAAATATCAACAACGTGACGTCACGACTGCTGCTCTCATACAGCCTACGGATAAGACTAAGAAACGTATTGTTAAATAAAAATTATACTGACTTGAAGAGCAAAACATCAACGTACGGAATCTCAGAAAGTTTCTTTAGGCATCATTTGCATAAAGTACCATTGAAACTTCCACTGGTCTTCTAGGTTTCACTATCCATAATATAACTTATAGTAACCATTTACACATTTTGATGCACCTAGATTTTATTAAATTTGACACAGTTATTTACAATCCTTGTGATTTTACTATGTATTAAGTAGAAAATCATTTATGTTAAATATTAAAATTGGAACGGGCGACTTATAAACATTCAAAGATGAATAGCTAACATTTGGAAAGAGCCGATTCGAATGTAAACAAAACCAACCAGTCATCTGTCTGTGCCAGCGGCCATGATAAGTCGTGACGTCATACCGTGACGTTTCCTGGCTTCAATTTCATGCACGGTACCTATGTGTTAGGTTTACTGCATTTATTCTAATCACTGATAGGTAAAATAATATTTACAAAATGCTGTTCTTATGTAAATTTAATAGTATATCTGAACAGAAAGCCAGAAAAATACATTCTTTGTTCTCAGCGTCTTTTGCAAAATAATTGAATAAGTACATATATTTATAATTTATCGATTTACTTCGTGCAGTATTTAACTATCTTACCCGTACAGAAATAAGTTAATTTTTAGCTCGAAATAACTTTAATTATTGCCTTTTTTATAATCTGTTTTTTAACCTGTCTTTAGACTACTAGGTACAGATTGAATTCTATAAGTGATTTATCCATGCGTTTTTAATTTAATTTAAACTACATTTCAGTGTAAATTACTTTCAGCTTTGTAAACAAATTCTCAGGTCTCAGATACATATCAGATAGGCTATTATACAATTTAAACTAGTTTAATTAATTTTATCGAGGCTTTAAGTCATACTAGACATTGACAGTCTAGTCTGTAATGTGTAGCATATGTGTAGTTAAGAGTTTAATTTGACAATCTTAGCATTCACTGATAGCTTAATGCATATCTCATCAATAATACTTGACTGACTGAGATAATGTTGTTATTCCATAAACAAGACGTCTCGGATTATTACTGTCATAATTATAATTACAAATATTATTGTAAGTATAACATCATTTTCTTTTCTGTCTATTAAACTTAAATCTAAATATTCGTTTTATATCAAACTATATTACTTTTTCAGCTTGAGGAAACTGTGGATTTGTTGAAAAGAAGTGGCAATCTGTAACATAATCTGTATACGCATTCAATGGCGGTGAAATGAATGTGAATTTTTTTATATTTACTCTTTTACGTTCCAAGACTTTCAGAGGAATGCGTGATTATTAATTAAAAGACATTTTTATCACACGATTTTAGCACTATTATAAAACGTATTTTCCTTAAAGCTGTCTTTCTGTTACCTTTCATTATTAGCTGATCAATGATCAACGATGTAAACTGCTAAACACTAATAGGCCCTTTATGGATTTGAATATATCATCTAATTAAACTGCCTTTGCGTACTTCCCATATCTATGCTAGAAAAACTGTAGTGCATATGTTACCGTGAAAGACCGAAATTGAAGAATGTCGACTTTCACCGGAGAATGTCAACATTCACCAAATACGTCGGTGAAAGATCGAATATTCCATTACATTCTTGTATATTCCGACCCTCACAGGTGTATGTTGACAATCACAATATGCTCTGGTGTAGGTCGAAATGGTTGACTCAAATTGGTGATACTGTACGAATACAAGTCCCTGATGTCGACCGTGGTCGTACAGATAAGCGGTTGTTGTTGGAATAGAAGACTCCGACTTCAAACGAAAATGTACTCTCAAGCAGCTTTACACACGTAATCAGTTCGTAATTTGTAAAGAAAAGTTACTTTCCGTAGATGAGATTCCTTCTCAAGTAATGTCGCTGAGAAAAGCAGCTGCAGCTAATTCGAGAAGAGGTGGGCAAGGCTATACAAATGTCATTGCAAAAGAAAGTGTTCCACAAGTAAATGCAGTTGTAAATGTAAAGGCCTCTTTTGCAATTCAAAGTGTCGTAATAGTTTAAGTTGTTGCAATAAATAAGATTTAAATCACATAATTTAGTAAGTTTTTTATTACTATTACTTTATTTTCTCATTTAGAACGTACTGTATAATTAAGTAAGTTTTTAACTTCTTTATTTTCCTTTCTCATTTTGAATGTACTGTGTGTTTTAAGTTCTTATTTTAAGTCTCAAATGAGTTTTTTTGCAACTGAATTACGGAGAAGAAAATATAACATTCACCATTAGTACATGGTGAATGTCTACATTTACCGGTGTAAGTCAGAAATAAGAGTATTTGGAAAATATTTGGACATACACCAAGCGACTACGTGAATGTTGATATTCACCGGTGAAAGTCGACATTCACCAGATTTCGGTGTTTCACCTTAACATATACATTCTACATCCCAGATTTAATATTAGTAAGTCTCATGCATCACGTATTGGTTTAATAAGTATAATATTTTATTTTTCTGATAAATTAAAACTATGCGAGAGTACAAAGTATATATGTATCTTATCAAATTATTGATTAATTTAATAAATTTATTATTATTATTAATTTTTAATTTATTAAAGAATCATTTCATATGCAAAGTTTAAGAGATAGGAAAGAATGTTATTTTATTTTAGTATGCTTAAATACTTCAGCTTTAAGTTGTAATACACTAAAACAAAAATTCACATATTTAAAACAGATAATTATCTAAAAAATTGATTGCATTTTTTTAAATGAAAGTTTTAAATAGATCATTTTCAGAAGCAACAACCTTATAACAACAAGAAAATAAATATTAATAAAATAAAAAAGTTTTATGAGAATTTAATGATTTCAGTTTATGCGTGTGTCACATTTATGAATCTCAAAGAAAATGTCTTGAATTAAGCTGAATTACAGAAATATATCTATACAAATTTTTAGATACGTCTTTCCACATGTTCAATTGTGTAAATATTTTACTTACTTTTATCGCTATACTATCCAGAAATTTGTAAGCTATGCAAACAGTTTATCTTGATCAAATGCACAAATTATATTCATAACAATTCACAAAACTTAAAAATGAATAATACTTAATTCATAGGGAAAAACATTCCTTTATTTAACACCTTTAGAATTTATAAAAATAGTAACAAATGATTCCTTACTTTTCATGAAAATTATAAAACGAATTGCATAAAACGTTCAAATTATACATTTTAAATCCTAGCATATATCATTGTATGTTAAGGAACGAAGATACCAGCTAAAAACTGAAACATTAAAATGCATTTAACATATTTTGATTATTATTAAGTCCTTTTTCAGATCTGGAAAGAAAATAACACGACATTGTCATATTTTTCAACATATTTATCAAATTACTTGAAAAAAAAATCGATACTTACGCGTGAAAAGTAATCCCAGGAATCTTTTTTAAAAATCAATTTGTGCATCCATATGCAAAACAAGATGACATGCTTCAAAAAGAAAAAAACAAAATGTTGTAATGACAGATCTCCTTGCACAAGTCACAGCGACAGCAATAACATTTCACGGTTTAAGTTGGAACTTCGCTCCTTCTATTCTAACCTCCTTGGTATAAATATGTTCGTAACTTAGTTTTTCAGTTTGACTCCGGTCACTCCCCCCCCCTCCATTTCCGACGTACTGTTACCCAGTTCAGACTTCTCTATGTTAAGCGCCCCTGTGGCGTACTAGTCATTGAGCCAAACAACGTGGCGTTAAAAACAGTGGCAGCCCGACATAAAAAGTAATGATTGATTTTTCAGTTGCAGTTTTCTTTGCTCTTGATGAATAAGGACTTTGTTCGACCTCGAAATCGGTTGAGTTTCTATGCTAAAAATCTACGCCTAACACAGATTATTGCTTCACTTTTATGACTTATTTGAGACGTATTTCTCTTCTGTCCTGAACAGGCCTATAGTATGAATATCTTTATTTAAGTTATTATAACAGAATAAATAGTGCAATCAAGTATAACTTCAGAACCGCTGAAGGCACAAAAGAAAAATACTACCTAAAACATGAACAAATTTAAAAAGTAATAATAATATAAATAACTCTGTGATAGGTTAAGAATATGGGGCGAGAAGCACTTGAAGACTCGAATTTGGACCCTAAAAAAGCCATTCTAAAACCACAAATGTTTTCACTGAACCAGAAGTAGAGTAACAAAAAAGATCACTGAAATCGTATAAAAGCCACTGAACTTCTTTTTATACAATGCACACGAAAGAAGTGTGTGTAAACCCACAATAATTCAAAACAAACAAATATTTGCAGCAATTTATAACAGTACAAACAATGCACTCATTTATAAAAATATTACATTTTAATAAATCTTCTTTCTTTTCAATAGGGTGCGAACTCCTCTGCTGCTCAAGCTCAAGAAGATTCTAACGGTCGTGGTAGTGACAAAAATGGTGCCGACGCTAGTAATAAAAATGACAATGCGACTGCCTCGCAAGACCTAGACCCAGACCGCGTCTACCTGGAGCAGTTCTCGAGAACTCTTGGATTTCATATGTCACAATTGAGTGAAGACACTCCAAAGCCGCAACCAAGAGCACGACTCAACGCCTTATCCAACACACCTTCACCAACTAAAGAAAACGTCAATCCAGTTGACAGCTTGAAAGAACAAGATACGTCGAACAAGAAAGAAAGTAAAAGAGTTGAGTAGTTGGCGTCTTTTCTATTCATTTTTATGTAGCGATGTTAAAAATGTGGTATTTAATATTTCAGTGAAGCAAGCGTATTACAAGAAGATTGTCTTTTAAGTTACGGTGTTTAAAATTCAATTTTTCAAACGGTGGCGTTTTATATTATTATTGCTGACAGTAATGTTATGGTAGGCGGAAAAATCTGTTTTAAGATTGTATGGAGTATATAACGTGATTTTCTTCGAGCGCTGGCAGATTGTCAGTGGTAATTTGCAACTAAAGCGTTCGGTATATTTATTGATTTAAGCCTACATTTTTCAGAATGCGGTGTGCTCTTAATTTAAGGTTGAAATAAATACGAATTACATTTTTGAGTAATGACCAAGCATTCTCTTTAAAATTTTAATAAATAAAGTATTTAATTTTGTTTCTTTTCGGAGAACTTTGTTTATCTTTTAAAAAAAATCTTTTAATTGAGATAAAGTCATTAACTATCATCCATAATTATTATTTTCTCCCTTATATTGAAATAAATTCTAGTATTCAACTTTTTATGTCAAATCCAGTGTAAACTTTAAAGTTATCTGACATATAAATTTAATTTGCGCTACAAATTTGCAATACGGAGCTTAAAAGTAATCCAAAACCTTATACAGCTGTCTTTGAATAAGCAGAATCTGCATTTAAGAATTTACGTTTAAAAACTTTTATTCCATTAGGGAAATCATGTTGCTAAAATGTTTTAAGTTTATTATGTTCTAAAAATAAATGCTAGTATTTATAGCATGGTGTGGTGTATTTAATTATGGCAAAGCACACTAGGGCTATCTGCCTAAGGGAAGGGTGCCTTCGTGGAGGACTTTCTAAGGGAAACTGGCTCGTATACACGTTACACATGAGGGAAAACACCCATGCAGCCAGCCCGTTCGCGGGATTCGAACCTCGGACCGAACTACCAGTGTTCAGCGACTTTTACCGCTCGGCCGCTGGTGGGCCATATATTTATAGCATGAAAAGTGTGATTATGATTATAACCGGATTCAAATACCCTTTAATGGAAGGATATCCTTCAATCCGGCCTCTTCGCATTCCATTTTAAATCCACTCAAACAATGATGTTTATTTTCACAACCTACAACCATAATTTTATACCATTTCATAGCAAAAATACTGCACTTTCGTTAAACGAAAATTCATGACCAATTTAGGTAAATTAAATGTATTCGTATTAATACTTTAAATTCATTAAACATTATTTAAGCTATTATATACTTTATATGCATTATATGAAATATAATTCAGGTATTTCAGAGCTCTGTATGTTGATTATGCTCTGTCATCAGAAGCTGGTGTGCATAAAAGGACCATTTCGTTTTCTAACTGTACTTTCGCAATTAAACAATGAAAGCCATGCCATAGAAACTCGGTATGCATCTCTTTGACGAAGGAGAAATAACATGTCTAGAAGTCAGAACAAGTGGCGCACTGAAAAATATTAATCTTTAATTACATTAAACATTTTTTTAAAGTATAAAAAACTAAAATCTTTAATGTAAAATTTTCAGTGAAAAAATGCTTTTCAAAGACGAATTAGTCAAAACAAAATCCATCCCGTACGATTAATAATATCTCAAATGTGAAATACTTTGAATCAAATTTTGTAAGAGGGGGCACATTACACAGGTATTGCTTCAGACTATTACGCGTGTTACGTTAATTTCTGAAAGACAGCTACTTTTTATATGAGAAAAGTACTATAAGTATGTTATTGAATGAGTCAAAAAATTCCCTTTTGTCGGGATGGTAAAATTCTACTCTTTTTCCTTTCTTTCTTTTTTTTAAAAATAATAAATGTACATTCATACAGCATATAAAAGTGACATCTTCGCTGCAAGTGGTTTATTCACATAAATTTCAACAATCATCCATACCCAGTCTTGAATGTTACAAAAACTATTTTTAAAAAAAATACAGTCGAAAAACATTAGAAGGATTAGGATGTTTAGGAACTCAATAGTTGGAATTTTCTTCGTAAAGGGCCCATTTAAAAATTTATATCATTTACATTTTCACTAAAAGATGGCACATAATTAAAATTATAATATTCTAGATATTACTTTATTTGATTCATTTCTTACGTTTTGATTAATAATTTTACGATCATCTGTTCAAGAGGTATTTAGCCCTTCCAGATTTTAAAATCACCTTTGCAAAATCACCTTAAAAGTGTTATGTATAATCTCAAAGTTAAATTACACTTTCTCTGAATTATTTTTATCCTCGTCTTCATTTAATCATTTTGAGTTTGAAATTCAAAAGGCTAAAATGAACATAACATTTAATATAAAATCGAATAATTAAAATTTATCTGTACTTTCAGCTTGAAGTGCAAACTGATGTTGTTGTGACTTATGTCACTTGTCTAACAGTTGCAGAGACAATAGGTTAATTGGAAAAGACAGGAAATATGAAAAACTGACAACGCCTTCGCCGGAAATCGAACCACGGCCCTCTGGAATACTGGCCCAGTGTGCAGAACCACTACACCACGAAGGCACGCTAGGAAGACGGGAGAAATACCTTATACAGTAACATCAGAACAAGTCCACAAATTTTATCTCGGCCAGAAAAGTACTATTTCATCTGCCGTTCATATAGGCTTTGGGCACCTTATTAAAGCTGACAGTAAGCCTTTACCCATTTCCGTCTCGACTTTGCAGAATTCGCCAAGGGATGGGTTCAGGGGTCTCATACCCTTCTTTCCCTATCACTCAAATTATTCCAGACAGCTTTCGGCTCACAGTGCATTTTAAGTGTCACAATGCCCCAATGATCTTACACATTTACAAACATCCAAGCTTTCGTTGTGATTCAAATCTGAGCCCAACGATATGGCAGCTACAACGCTAAATTACTATACCGGTTAGAGCGGGTGAAGTACAAACTGAAACTAACGAACATAAATTCCCATTCTCTTGTTGCGGGAATAATAGACAATACGCAAAGTCAAATTATTTTTAATTACAAGCTAAATTCTTTTCTAGAGCCTGGTTCGTTAATTTGCAAATAATTATCTGTTAAGCAATCGCCAAAAAGAATTCATGAGATCAGAGGTTAAGGAGGAGGAGGATTGGCTTCCTCACAAAAGATTTTGTTTTCAGATGGCAGCCCCCGAAGCCTCCTTCTTTAACTAAGGGTTTTATTCTATTTAAAACTCCTCTAATTTTATTCTTTGTAAAAGCTGCCGAAACAGCAGAAGTACAGAATAAATTTTAACACAAGCAAAAGCATATTAGTTTAAATAAACAACTTTAGAGTTTTTATTGCAGTTATTCTTTCTTGTTTTGGCTTTTCTTCCGATTCGAATAAGTAATAGAATAATACCTATTCATTTCCAGAAATCACCTCAGCCTCAATCAAGGAAAGCTCGTCTCAGCAGAATGATGGCAGTTCGAGAAGACTCGGACGAGAACTCCACAGCAGACGATGACGAAGACCCTTTTGTCAAAAGTACAGAATGCCAGACGGAACATTTTGAGGTAGGGCTTAAATTTCGCACTTTTTTCAAAAAACTTTATCAAAACGAAATGCTAAGGCTATAAAAATATAGAACATATGATTCAAATGCTAAACAATACCTGAATTTTTCGCTTTACATTAGTAGCTTTTTGATTAGTTACTCCGATTACTGATCCGCATGATTCGAAGGCAGTCAGATTCAATCTTCCCCCACTCCACGTACATATATTCGCTGTGTTCAGTGAGTCATAGCTTACTATGCTAGATCTGAGAGGAAAATAAACCTTAATATATCCAATTTAGTTTTAAAAATAACGTAATTCCTGCTATTGGGAAAACTGTTTTACTGGTCTTAACAAACTGGGTTTATATTTCCTTTCATGCTGTGCTTAATGTATCATGAAGTGAGAATCAAAGAGCCAATATCCATCCATGTTCTTCACATACTCATCGCAGAATAGTATGATTCGCAAAGATATACTGATCAAAAAAACGTGCGAAGGAGCAATCAGTTATTTTTTAAATTCAGCATGAATTAAGCATACTCTTCTTCCTTTATGTTGTGTTTAAAAATAACTTCTAGAATCATATCTTTTTGAGCTCATTGATTTCATCAAATACAGTGTTGCAAAATCATACCTCAATGCAGCTTATTTTGTAATAACTTCTCTCTCTGCATGCTAGAGATTTTCTACCAGCAATAGACAATACATAGTCTTCCGCGAATCCTGAAATTTTTTCTTAAATTCTTTATATAAGTAATAACTGTACATTATTACTTAACGGTTCTAAAGGAACAATATTCATGGAGACATGCTAAGAAGACGGGAGAAATACCTTATAATCTATTTCCCACGCCATGACTCAAATGGCTCTTCAGCTATTTGCCAGCATTAATTAAATCTCTGAATTAATGTCTTAAAATTAAAATCAGCCAACTTTACTCCGTGATTAAGCGTACTGGTGGTATGACGTTTTCGTGGTTCTTCTTGTACATAAAATAAATAGGGGCTATTTTTCTAGAAAATTCTTCACTCATTTAGAAAATTCTCCACAAAGACATTTCTTCCCCCAGGCAGTTCAGTCGTATTATTCACATCAGGGGATGAATGGATGAGACCAAATACTGTAAGTATTTGGTCTCATCCATGCATGGGTGTAATGTGTGGAATCCATGCATGGGTGTAATGTCTGGAACATGCATGGGTGTAAATATTGTAAGATCTACCTCTAGTTGTCCACATACACTAACTTAGATCCTACAATGAACCTGGCGAATTCTCGCATAGGCGGGAATTAAATACCAGCACAGAAGAAGGGTGCAAAATAACCCTTTATTAACTCACACTAAATTTAACAGAAAGCACCGACTTCATTCGTTACAAAACACCGTTCACTTGCGGCGATAACTAAATGTAGACTAGAATACAAATCAAAATCTAAAAAATAAACGAGTGCAAGAACGCACTTCAAAACTACTCCTAAGAAATGGACTCACAGAAATCTAACCGGCGTGATACTAAACTGATGAGGCCAAAGGACTTACTCGAGTGACCGCGAAATAACAACGAAACGTGCGCTAGACTAGCGAAACACGCTCTGAATAAACTGAGATAATCACACGTTTAATAGCACTTCACTTAACTTTACAGTTACATCCTGACGAGATAATGTAATGGAAAGTTTGAGAAGTTGAGAACAGGAAAACTTAAAATAAATTTGTTATGCAAATTAAGAAAAACCCTACAACTATTAATTAGTATTACCTAAGTTTCAACATTGACCAATGGACTGATTCGAGTTTTCGTGTTTTTCTCTTGTGTAACGTTTATACTAGCCACTTTTCTTTAGAAAGATTTCCACGAAGGCATCTTTTACCTTATACAGATAGTTTAAACATGCAGATAGTTATAATAAATAATAGATCGATATTTATAATAAATAATACGGATTGCATTGACAAATTTACATACATTTAATGCTGAAATCTTTTTTTTTTCAGGCTTTTAGTTATGACTGAATTTTGCACTATGATAATAGTTTAATAAGAATTATTTCGCCTTCATCTGCCTATACTATTATAGAATTATTTTCATACCCTTCTATTTAAACCTCCAATTGACAATTCAAAATAATAATCATAATATTTTCTTAAGCACTATAGTTCCACTGAGTTATATTTTTATTACGATGTTCAAAAGAGTTCAGCATGATTTCCTAGTGAGCTACTATAATTCCTTTGGAATGGTAAATATTTCAAAAGTTTTATCCGAAACTTTATCGGAACTCCAGTTTCTTGTAGTTAATAAAAGAAATATCAGCACATTCTCTACTCTGAATGAATATCTACAGGAAATACTTCCGTATCTTATATTCAAACACAGAAAACGTTTTCTCAATAATTAACTTTGTGATATTATGCAAAGTTTGGAAATGTTACGCAAAATTGGAAGTATGGAAAATTAAATCATCTTATTCTTAAATCAATAACTACATTATTATTAAGTAAAGCTAACCATAGTATTGAAATGGACAGAAGTAAATATGAATAAGTCTACAGATTTTCCAGGGAACTAATTTGTTTATCGTGAACAAAACATCTGAATAGTTTTGATTCCAGCTACATTTCGTAATATATATTTCTGCTCCTATTTACTTAAAGAATATCCCATGAGTTATTTATTTGTGTACATGAAGTCTTTCAACCGTACGTTTTCTCTGGTAATAGTGTAAAGTTTATTTATGTTAATTAACCAGTTGTTTTATGTTCTGAACTGTACTGTCACCTCTTTACGTTTTCCTCCCAGAATGTAAATTTGCTCGTGCGTAAAAGTTTGAGATTGTTACTTCCTTCTACGATTCAAAGGAAGTATAGTAATCGCAAAAATTTTTGGGTATCATATTTCAACTAAAATACCCGTTTTTACTGCTATCCAATACAGTTTAACGATGGTTTTCGTGTCATCTGGACGTACGAACAGAATAAAGGACTCTTTTCCCCAAAACGGGTTGCAAAAAGGATTTAAAATGGATTCGGATGAGTTTTTTCCGTGACATCTGTAATTACGTACGTACGTATATATGTGCGTATGTATCTCGGACGAGTAGCCTCAGAACATTGAAATTTTGTGCATAAGACTGCTATAACATGCAGTTGTGCAACTCCCTTTTTGGGTGAAATCGGCTGCACCAAAAGTATATAAATAAATATATACGTTTATACCCACTCTGTTACTCGGCTCAATGAACTCCGTTTTTTTTATTCTTATATGTTTTTAAATTGCGCATTTTTTGCTTTAAAAATGAGTGAATTATGCTGTTCTTATCTTCCGGTTAAGGATTTTATGCCTTTAGTTAATCTGCATGTAATAGTTTTAGACTTATCAACAATTTAAAAGTTGTTCAAGAGTGACTAAGCCCTTTTTTTTTTTTTTTTAACTATAGCAGCCATATTTGTTTACATTTAAAACTTAGAAGAGTAGTATATTCAGTTTCTGCACCTTCAGCATCTTTTTGCCAAATGGGTCCAAAAGTAAACTTTAAGTTTTTTACGCCGAAAAATCTGCTTTCTAGCTCGCTGGCCGAATTAATTGTTTTTGAGTAGAAACTCTAATTTTAATTTTAATTTTTTTTATTTGTTTTAACTGTATTTGGTGTTTTATATTTTTTTTATATTTTTCAATTTTTAATAAAGATATTTTGAGGTTTTATGTTTTTTTGTCTTATCGCGAAATGAGAGCTGAATTAATTCAATGAGAAATATATCTCTAGTGAAATTCGAGGAAATAAGTTTAAATTAAATGCAGCAAAAATGCGTATAATTTAATATTTGGTACAAGGAAGTCATGTGGTGTGCGCATCAGATTTTTTAGACAGAGCGTGTTCGGCCTGCTGTAGGCCACGTTACTACTTTGCTCCTATCTTCGGCACTGCTTTATTCTTGGCGGGTAGTGTTTTCTACCCGGTGTAAGCTTAAGGCCTAACTTTCGCATTTAAGTTACTCTGTGTAGCCTTTGGTTAACTGATACTTAGATTTACTTTTAAATTTAAAATTCTCTCGTTATAAATGTTGGTTCATTTGTAAACATTAAATGTGCCTTCTGTTCAACTTAATTAGTTTTAAACAAAAGGATCTTTTACCCCTGGTCTTACGTTTCTGTGTTTTCATATTAGATATAGCAATAATCCGCTTACAGTCCTATTGAGGGTTGCCACCAATTAATTTAGTAAAAGCCATATTCTTTATAAGAGGATTTGAAACTACTCTAAGTCTAAATCTGTTATCATTAAAAGGAAAAGAGTATTAATGCCTGAGGAATCAAGCATCGATAAAAGCGTATATATATATATATATAGTGCACAATAATCATTAAGGAGGAGAAAATTTCCAAGAACTGTTAAGTGGGCTTTCAGTTGTTTTATGCCGCGCAATAACACAGGTGAAAGCAGTCATACGTAATATAACTTATAATTCCTCTTTTGCAATAACAATTTCTATTTTGGAGAAATGTTGGACTATTGTGAAATCAAAGAAACTTTTATCTGCTTTGTTTCGTCGCGGCGACATTTGTCGTGCAAGTATTTATTTAATAATCTTTTAGTCATAACTTGCATTTAGATAAATGAAAATAAGTGGATGAAATGATATGTTGTTGTGACGCTTAGCTCCATCTGGCGGATAGTGTTTGTAATCTAAATGTTGAACCGGGAGAGGTTATGAGAAACTTATCACTTCTTTCGTATTTTCTGTTAAAAAATAATAATTCTAAAAAAGTTAAGGACACATTATGTCAAGTTTTATTTAAAAAATAAAACATTCGTTAAGGATTTATTTATTTTAATCTAAATAATTATTTTATGTTAAATATCTCTACTGTCATTCTCCCTTTTCGTTTTCCTTCCGAAATGCTAATTTTAAGTTCGCGCTCGTTCAAATGAGGTAGAAAGAGATAGTGCCTAAAGGAAGGTTTTAGACTGTTTAATCAGAGCGTGTGCTGCCTATTGAAGCTCACGTTGCTAG